GCCGCCCGCTGGCGGCGGGCCCCCCCGCGCGCCGCAGAGGCCGCGACGGCCAGCGCCGCGGCGCCGCACACGGCTCCGGCAGCGGTCGTCGTCCCGGCGGAGCCCGCCTCGACGCCTCGCACGTTGCCGCGCAGCTGGGGCGCCGCTGGGGCCGCCGGCTGCCCCGAGGAGGGCGCCACGAAGCAGTTGACCGCCGCCAGCGTCGCGGCAGCGCCCGCCACGGGCACGAGCATCGACGAGCGCTTGCCCGACATCTTCGACGCAACGGGCATCCTACCACGGAGCAGTCTGCGGGACCAGCGGTTGCGGCCTCCACGCAGAACTTAGAGGGCACACTAGCTTGAGCCAAAACGGCTACAGAAGGCGAGGAACAGGAAGAGGGGGAGCAGGAGGATCGAGATCCGAGAGGATGAGAAGGATCTGGGAGGAGGAAGCCAGAAGAGGAAGATGAAGACCCGAGGAGGAGGGCGACGAGGAGGATGAGCAGGAGGAGGAGGAGGCGGAGGCGGAGGCGGAGGAGGAGGGGTAGGAGGAAGGCTGATGAGATGGATGGTTGAGGAGGGGAGGAAGGGAGGAACAACGAGACGGGCGAAATGAGGCGAGTGGAAGCGCAACAGAGAATCATTCGGGGTCTTCGTCTTCACTCTTGCCATCGCCTCGCCGATGGCAGTACCGAGGAGGAGAATCTGCCACTGGGTTTCGTCCTGGACTCCCTGGTCCGAACACAAGCAGGCCACCCTGTCCGCAACCGCCATCAGAAATCCTGGAGATCCCCAAGACTACCCGTGCCCGTAGCTCGCTCCCGCAGGCTCCTCTCGGCCCCCCCGACGATCAAGAAGCATATCGGGCTGCCCTCAACTCGCCCTGGCATGGGGCCGAGAGGTCTGGAGGCCCACAGAAGGGGGCAGCAATGACGTCGGATGCCCGGGGCGAAGAGGGAGGGCAAGCGGGAAGAGGAACATAGTGAGGATGAGGAGGGGAACATGGAAAGCAGGGGTCGCACCAAGCGCCATCGAAGGTGTCCGCCTGTCAAGCGTGCCTGTAAAACTGTGAAGCCTGGAGAAAGGGCCGGCCGCGTGTTCTCGGGCAGGCTCCATGTTCGGACACCTGGGACCGCGATCCCAGGAGAAGGAAGATGACTGCGGAAGCCACTCAGCAGGTCTTCGAAAACGTGGTCAAAAAGCGCGCTCAGTGCTTGCCCTGGCTTCCGTCCGACAGCACGCCCTTCTCGCCCTTCAGGCAGCGCTCGGCGCAGGCGACGATGTTCGGGACGTTGAAGCCGAACTTGTCCATGCAGGTGCCCCCCGGGGCCGAGGCGCCGAAGCAGTTGATGCCCACGAAGGCGTCGGCCCACTCGCCCCAGCCCATGGTGACGGCCGCCTCCACGCTCAGCTTGGGCACGTCTTTGGGCAGCAAGTTGTTCTTGTAGCTCAGCGGCTGGTCGCGGAAGAGCTCCCACGAGGGCATAGACACCACGCGCACCTTCTTGCCCAGCTCCTTTGCGGCATCCACGCACAGGCTGACCTCGGAGCCAGTGCCGATGAGGATGAGCTCTGGGTCCGCTTCCTCGACCACGGCGTATGCGCCCTTCTCCACGTTGGCGATGGAGGAGTTCGGCAGGTTCGGCAACGCCTGGCGGGTCAGGGCCATGAAGGTGGGCATGGACTTGTACTTGGACAACTCGAAAGCGACTTTGTACGCGCCCGATGTCTCGTTGCCGTCAGCTGGACGTATGACGGTCAGCCCCGGGATCATGCGCAGGGATGGGACGGTCTCGATGGGTTGGTGCGTGGGGCCATCCTCGCCCACCGCGATGGAGTCGTGGGTGGTGACGAAGATGGTGCCGGCCTGCGCCAGGGCGGCGATGCGGATCGCGTTGCGCATGTAGTCGCTGAAGATGGTGAAGGTGGCGCAGTACGGCACCAAGCCGGTCTTGTCCAGGGAGATGGCGTTCGACACGGCGCCCATGCCGAACTCGCGGATTCCAAACCGCATGTTGCGGCCCTCGTAGGAGCCCTTCAGGAAGTCACCCGTGCACTTCATCAGCGTCATGTTCGAGGGTGCCAGGTCCGCGGACCCGCCGATGAGCTCGGGGCAGGTGCTGGCCAGCGCGTTCAGGCAATCCTGGGACCACAGGCGCGTAGCCTTGCCGCTATCCTCGGGCGTCACCTTGGGCAGGCAGTCGGCCCAGCCTTCGGGGAGCTTCTTGTCGATGGCGATGCGCTTGAACTGCGCGGCCAGCTCGGGCTCCGCCTCCTGGTACCTGGCCCACAGGGCGTTCCACTCCTCCTGCTTCTTGGCGCCCTCGGCCGCGTGGGCACGGAAGACGTCGTAGACGCTCTGCGGCACCTCAAACTCGCCGTACTTGTAGCCGAGCTGCTCGCGGGTCGCGGTGGCCTCGTCCGAGCCCAGGGGCGCGCCGTGGGCGTCGTGGCTGTCGGCCTTGTTCGGCGAGCCGTACCCGATTACCGTCTTGACCTTGATCAGGGTGGGCTTGTCGGTGCACGCCTTGGCATCCGCGATGGCCTTGCGGAGGGCAGCCACGTCGGTGTTGCCATCCTCAACCGTCAGCACCTGCCATCCGTACGCCTCGTAGCGCATGCCCACATCCTCGGTGAAGGAGAGCTCCGTGTGGCCGTCGATGGTGATCCCGTTGTCGTCGTAGAAGACGATGAGCTTGCCGAGGCCGAGATGGCCAGCATATGCGCAGGACTCGTGGGAGATCCCCTCCTGGCAGCAGCCGTCACCCATGATGCAGTACGTGTAGTGGTCGATCAGGGGCAAGCCCGGCTTGTTGTAGACGGCGGCGTTGTGCGCCTCGGCAGCCGCGAGGCCCACAGCGTTGGATACACCCATGCCGAGCGGGCCCGTGGTGACCTCGATGCCCGCAGTCTCGAAGTTCTCGGGGTGGCCCGGCGTCTTGGAGCCCCACTGCCTGAATTGCTTCAGGTCGTCCATGGAGACGCTCTCGTAGCCCGTGAGATGGAGCACCGAGTACTGGAACATGCAGCCGTGGCCAGAGGAGAGCACGAAGCGGTCGCGGTTCACCCACGCGGGGTCCGCGGGGTTGAAGTTCATCTCCTCGGCGAACAGCACGTAGCCGATGGGAGCCTGACCCATCGGTGCTCCTGCAGAAGACCGCACAGCGAAAGACGTATAAACCTTTGGATGCCCAGGAGGAGGAGGAGGAGGAGGAGGAGGAGGAGGAGGAGGAGGAGGAGGGAGGAGGAAGGAGGAGGAGGAGGAGGAGGAGGCGAGGAGGAGGAGAGGATGAGGAAGGGGGAGGAGCAGGGAAGGAGGGAGGAGGAGGAGGAGGAGGAGGAGGAGGAGGAGGAAGAAAGGGAGAAGGAGGAAGAGGAGGAGGATGAGGAGGAGGGAGAAGAGGAAGACAACGACGACCCAACTCACGACCTCCCTCCCCACATCCCTGCTGGCACCCCTCCAGCGCCTGCCTTAGCGCGATCCGCGCGCAGGGCAAGGGGTGTGGGTAAGGGGTGCGGTCCAGCACCGACGCAAGAAGCCCGCGCGGGCGCCCGCAAGGAAGATTGTGCCCATGCCGTTACGCGGGTCCCTTTGGCCACAGGCAACAAGGGACCCTAACTGGGCAAGAGCAACCCTTGGTGCGCGGCTTGCCGACCGCCGCGTGCGATGCGACAGTAATTAGCGACCTGCATGCTTGGGTTTGGTCCCCCCGCGGCCCCCAAGAGCCGCGCGGCGAAGGACTCCTGACACCCGCTGGTCTGGATTTTTGCAACCCGCGGCTCCAGAGGTCCCGACCACTACCCCTGGGTCAATGTATCGTCCCGCGCCCGTTTCTGATGGTCCTGGGGCCCGATGGCGGGCCCCGGAAGGCCGAAATCAAAGAGAACCGCCGCGCCCCGTCCCCGCAGCCGACCCCGGCTCCCGGGTGGCCGCTGTTGGCCTTGTTCACGGCGTCCACTGCGAGGAAGCGGATGGCGTTGATGCAGTCGGTCTCCACCTCGGTGCTGACGGCCGTGGCCTTCTGCGCCGCCGGCGCCGCCCGCTGGCGGCGGGCCCCCCCGCGCGCCGCAGAGGCCGCGACGGCCAGCGCCGCGGCGCCGCACACGGCTCCGGCAGCGGTCGTCGTTCCGGCGGAGCCCGCCTCGACGCCTCGCACGTTGCCGCGCAGCTGGGGCGCCGCCGGGGCCGCCGGCTGCCCCGAGGAGGGCGCCACGAAGCAGTTGACCGCCGCCAGCGTCGCGGCAGCGCCCGCCACGGGCACGAGCATCGACGAGCGCTTGCCCGACATCTTCGACGCAACGGGCATCCTACCACGGAGCAGTCTGCGGGACCAGCGGTTGCGGCCTCCACGCAGAACTTAGAGGGCACACTAGCTTGAGCCAAAACGGCTACACAAGGCGAGGAACAGGAAGAGGGGGAGCAGGAGGATCGAGATCCGAGAGGATGAGAAGGATCTGGGAGGAGGAAGCCAGAAGAGGAAGATGAAGACCCGAGGAGGAGGGCGACGAGGAGGATGAGCAGGAGGAGGAGGAGGCGGAGGCGGAGGCGGAGGAGGAGGGGTAGGAGGAAGGCTGATGAGATGGATGGTTGAGGAGGGGAGGAAGGGAGGAACAACGAGACGGGCGAAATGAGGCGAGTGGAAGCGCAACAGAGAATCATTCGGGGTCTTCGTCTTCACTCTTGCCATCGCCTCGCCGATGGCAGTACCGAGGAGGAGAATCTGCCACTGGGTTTTGTCCTGGACTCCCTGGTCCGAACACAAGCAGGCCACCCTGTCCGCAACCGCCATCAGAAATCCTGGAGATCCCCGAGACTACCCGTGCCCGTAGCTCGCTCCCGCAGGCTCCTCTCGGGCCCCCCGACGATCAAGAAGCATATCGGGCTGCCCTCAACTCGCCCTGGCATGGGGCCGAGAGGTCTGGAGGCCCACAGAAGGGGGCAGCAATGACGTCGGATGCCCGGGGCGAAGAGGGAGGGCAAGCGGGAAGAGGAACATAGTGAGGATGAGGAGGGGAACATGGAAAGCAGGGGTCGCACCAAGCGCCATCGAAGGTGTCCGCCTGTCAAGCGTGCCTGTAAAACTGTGAAGCCTGGAGAAAGGGCCGGCCGCGTGTTCTCGGGCAGGCTCCATGTTCGGACACCTGGGACCGCGATCCCAGGAGAAGGAAGATGACTGCGGAAGCCACTCAGCAGGTCTTCGAAAACGTGGTCAAAAAGCGCGCTCAGTGCTTGCCCTGGCTTCCGTCCGACAGCACGCCCTTCTCGCCCTTCAGGCAGCGCTCGGCGCAGGCGACGACGTTCGGGACGTTGAAGCCGAACTTGTCCATGCAGGTGCCCCCCGGGGCCGAGGCGCCGAAGCAGTTGATGCCCACGAAGGCGTCGGCCCACTCGCCCCAGCCCATGGTGACGGCCGCCTCCACGCTCAGCTTGGGCACGTCTTTGGGCAGCAAGTTGTTCTTGTAGCTCAGCGGCTGGTCGCGGAAGAGCTCCCACGAGGGCATAGACACCACGCGCACCTTCTTGCCCAGCTCCTTTGCGGCATCCACGCACAGGCTGACCTCGGAGCCAGTGCCGATGAGGATGAGCTCTGGGTCCGCTTCCTCGACCACGGCGTATGCGCCCTTCTCCACGTTGGCGATGGAGGAGTTCGGCAGGTTCGGCAACGCCTGGCGGGTCAGGGCCATGAAGGTGGGCATGGACTTGTACTTGGACAACTCGAAAGCGACTTTGTACGCGCCCGATGTCTCGTTGCCGTCAGCTGGACGTATGACGGTCAGCCCCGGGATCATGCGCAGGGATGGGACGGTCTCGATGGGTTGGTGCGTGGGGCCATCCTCGCCCACCGCGATGGAGTCGTGGGTGGTGACGAAGATGGTGCCGGCCTGCGCCAGGGCGGCGATGCGGATCGCGTTGCGCATGTAGTCGCTGAAGATGGTGAAGGTGGCGCAGTACGGCACCAAGCCGGTCTTGTCCAGGGAGATGGCGTTCGACACGGCGCCCATGCCGAACTCGCGGATTCCAAACCGCATGTTGCGGCCCTCGTAGGAGCCCTTCAGGAAGTCACCCGTGCACTTCATCAGCGTCATGTTCGAGGGTGCCAGGTCCGCGGACCCGCCGATGAGCTCGGGGCAGGTGCTGGCCAGCGCGTTCAGGCAATCCTGGGACCACAGGCGCGTGGCCTTGCCGCTATCCTCGGGCGTCACCTTGGGCAGGCAGTCGGCCCAGCCTTCGGGGAGCTCCTTGTCGATGGCGATGCGCTTGAACTGCGCGGCCAGCTCGGGCTCCGCCTCCTGGTACCTGGCCCACAGGGCGTTCCACTCCTCCTGCTTCTTGGCGCCCTCGGCCGCGTGGGCACGGAAGACGTCGTAGACGCTCTGCGGCACCTCAAACTCGCCGTACTTGTAGCCGAGCTGCTCGCGGGTCGCGGTGGCCTCGTCCGAGCCCAGGGGCGCGCCGTGGGCGTCGTGGCTGTCGGCCTTGTTCGGCGAGCCGTACCCGATCACCGTCTTCACCTTGATCAGGGTGGGCTTGTCGGTGCACGCCTTGGCATCAGCGATGGCCTTGCGGAGGGCAGCCACGTCGGTGTTGCCATCCTCAACCGTCAGCACCTGCCATCCGTACGCCTCGTAGCGCATGCCCACATCCTCGGTGAAGGAGAGCTCCGTGTGGCCGTCGATGGTGATCCCGTTGTCGTCGTAGAAGACGATGAGCTTGCCGAGGCCGAGATGGCCAGCATATGCGCAGGACTCGTGGGAGATCCCCTCCTGGCAGCAGCCGTCACCCATGATGCAGTACGTGTAGTGGTCGATCAGGGGCAAGCCAGGCTTGTTGTAGACGGCGGCATTGTGCGCCTCGGCAGCCGCGAGGCCCACAGCGTTGGATACACCCATGCCGAGCGGGCCCGTGGTGACCTCGATGCCCGCAGTCTCGAAGTTCTCGGGGTGGCCCGGCGTCTTGGAGCCCCACTGCCTGAATTGCTTCAGGTCGTCCATGGAGACGCTCTCGTAGCCGGAGATGGAGCACTGAGTACTGGAACATGCAGCCGTGGCCAGAGGAGAGCACGAAGCGGTCGCGGTTCACCCACGCGGGGTCCGCGGGGTTGAAGTTCATCTCCTCGGCGAACAGCACGTAGCCGATGGGAGCCTGACCCATCGGTGCTCCTGCAGAAGACCGCACAGCGAAAGACGTGTGAACCTTTGGATGCCCAGGAGGAGGAGGAGGAGGACGAGGAGCAGCAGGGGAAGGGGGGAGAAGGAGGAGGAGGAAGAGACAGAGGATGAGGAAGAGGAAGACGACGACGACCCGACTCACGGCCTCCCTCCCCACATCCCTGCCGGCACCCCTCCAGCGCCTGCCTTAACGCGATCCGCGCGCAGGGCAAGGGGTGTGGGTAGGGGTATGGGTCCAGCACCGACGCAAGAAGCCCGCGCGGGCGCCCGCAAGGAAGTTTGTGCCCATGCCGTTACGCGGGTCCCTTTGGCCCCAGGCAACAGGGGACCCTAACTGGGCAAGAGCAACCCTTGCCGACCGCCGCGTGCGATGCGACAGTAATTAGCGACCTGCATGCTTGGGTTTGATCCCCCCGCGGCCCCCAAAAGCCGCGCGGCGAAGGACTCCTGACATCCGCTGATCTGGATGTTTGCAACCCGCGGCTCCAGAGGTCCCGACCACTCCCCCTGGGTCAGTGTATCGTCCCGCGTTTCTGATGGTCCTGGGGCCCAATGACGAGCCCCGGAAGGCCGAAATCAAAGAGAACCGCCGCGCCCCCTCCCCGCAGCCGACCCTGGCTCCCGGGTGGCCGCTGTTGGCCTTGTTCACGGCGTCCACTGCGAGGAAGCGGATGGCGTTGATGCAGTCGGTCTCCACCTCGGTGCTGACGGCCGTGGCCTTCTGCGCCGCCGGCGCCGCCCGCTGGCGGCGGGCCCCCCCGCGCGCCGCAGAGGCCGCGACGGCCAGCGCCGCGGCGCCGCACACGGCTCCGGCAGCGGCCGTCGTCCCGGCGGAGCCCGCCTCGACGCCTCGCACGTTGCCGCGCAGCTGGGGCGCCGCAGGGGCCGGCGGCTGCCCCGAGGAGGGCGCCACGAAGCAGTTGACCGCCGCCAGCGTCGCGGCAGCGCCCGCCACGGGCACGAGCATCGACGAGCGCTTGCCCGACATCTTCGACGCAACGGGCATCCTACACGGAGCCGTCGCGGGACCGCGGTGCGGCCTCCCACGCAGAACTAATGGGGCCACACTAGCTTGAGCCAAAACGGCTACACAAGGCGAGGAACAGGAAGAGGGGGAGCAGGAGGATCGAGATCCGAGAGGATGAGAAGGATCAGGGAGGAGGAAGCCAGAAGAGGAAGATGAAGACCCGAGGAGGAGGGCGACGAGGAGGATGAGCAGGAGGAGGAGGAGGCGGAGGCGGAGGCGGAGGAGGAGGGGTAGGAGGAAGGCTGATGAGATGGATGGTTGAGGAGGGGAGGAAGGGAGGAACAACGAGACGGGCGAAATGAGGCGAGTGGAAGCGCAACAGAGAATCATTCGGGGTCTTCGTCTTCACTCTTGCCATCGCCTCGCCGATGGCAGTACCGAGGAGGAGAATCTGCCACTGGGTTTCGTCCTGGACTCCCTGGTCCGAACACAAGCAGGCCACCCTGTCCGCAACCGCCATCAGAAATCCTGGAGATCCCCGAGACTACCCGTGCCCGTAGCTCGCTCCCGCAGGCTCCTCTCGGCCCCCCCGACGATCAAGCATATCGGGCTGCCCTCAACTCGCCCTGGCATGGGGCCGAGAGGTCTGGAGGCCCACAGAAGGGGGCAGCAATGACGTCGGATGCCCGGGGCGAAGAGGGAGGGCAAGCGGGAAGAGGACCATAGTGAGGATGAGGAGGGGAACATGGAAAGCAGGGGTCGCACCAAGCGCCATCGAAGGTGTCCGCCTGTCAAGCGTGCCTGTAAAACTGTGAAGCCTGGACAAGCCGCCGGTCCGCGTGTTCTCGGCAGGCTCCATGTCGGATGCATGGGACCGCGACCCAGGATGACGGCGATGACGCGGAAGCCACTCAGCAGGTCTTCGAAAACGGGTCAAACAGCGGGCTCAGTGCTTGCCTGGCTTCCGTCCGACAGCCACGCCCTTCTCGCCCCTTCAGGCAGCGCTCGGCGCCGGCGACGCCGTTCGGGGACGTTGAAGCCTAACTTGTCCATGAAGGTGCCCCCGGGGCCAGGCGCCGAAGCAGTTGGATGCCCACGAAGGGACGTCGGCCACTAGCCCAGCATGGGCACGGCCGCCTCACACGCTCAGCTTGGGCACGTCCTTTGGGCAGCAAGTTGTTCTTGTAGCTCAGCGGCTGGTCGCCGAGGCCGAAGAGCTCCCACGAGGGCACAGGACCTCCGCGTCAACTTCTAGTGCCACGGTCCGTTGAGGCATCCACGCACAGGCTGACCTCGGAGCCAGTGCCGATGAGGATCAGCTCCGGGTCCGACTCCTCGATCACGGCGTATGCGCCCCTCTCCACGTTGGCGATGGAGGAGTTCGGCAGGTTCGGCAACGCCTGGCGGGTCAGGGCCATGAAGGTGGGCATGGACTTGTACTTGGACAACTCGAAAGCGACTTTGTACGCGCCCGATGTCTCGTTGCCGTCAGCTGGACGTATGACGGTCAGCCCTGGGATCATGCGCAGGGATGGGACGGTCTCGATGGGTTGGTGCGTGGGGCCATCCTCGCCCACCGCGATGGAGTCGTGGGTGGTGACGAAGATAGTGCCGGCCTGCGCCAGGGCGGCGATGCGGATCGCGTTGCGCATGTAGTCGCTGAAGATGGTGAAGGTGGCGCAGTACGGCACCAAGCCGGTCTTGTCCAGGGAGATGGCGTTCGACACGGCGCCCATGCCGAACTCGCGGATTCCAAACCGCATGTTGCGGCCCTCGTAGGAGCCCTTCAGGAAGTCACCCGTGCACTTCATCAGCGTCATGTTCGAGGGTGCCAGGTCCGCGGACCCGCCGATGAGCTCGGGGCAGGTGCTGGCCAGCGCGTTCAGGCAATCCTGGGACCACAGGCGCGTGGCCTTGCCGCTATCCTCGGGCGTCACCTTGGGCAGGCAGTCGGCCCAGCCTTCGGGGAGCTCCTTGTCGATGGCGATGCGCTTGAACTGCGCGGCCAGCTCGGGCTCCGCCTCCTGGTACCTGGCCCACAGGGCGTTCCACTCCTCCTGCTTCTTGGCGCCCTCGGCCGCGTGGGCACGGAAGACGTCGTAGACGCTCTGCGGCACCTCAAACTCGCCGTACTTGTAGCCGAGCTGCTCGCGGGTCGCGGTGGCCTCGTCCGAGCCCAGGGGCGCGCCGTGGGCGTCGTGGCTGTCGGCCTTGTTCGGCGAGCCGTACCCGATCACCGTCTTCACCTTGATCAGGGTGGGCTTGTCGGTGCACGCCTTGGCATCAGCGATGGCCTTGCGGAGGGCAGCCACGTCGGTGTTGCCATCCTCAACCGTCAGCACCTGCCATCCGTACGCCTCGTAGCGCATGCCCACATCCTCGGTGAAGGAGAGCTCCGTGTGGCCGTCGATGGTGATCCCGTTGTCGTCGTAGAAGACGATGAGCTTGCCGAGGCCGAGATGGCCAGCATATGCGCAGGACTCGTGGGAGATCCCCTCCTGGCAGCAGCCGTCACCCATGATGCAGTACGTGTAGTGGTCGATCAGGGGCAAGCCCGGCTTGTTGTAGACGGCGGCGTTGTGCGCCTCGGCAGCCGCGAGGCCCACAGCGTTGGATACACCCATGCCGAGCGGGCCCGTGGTGACCTCGATGCCCGCAGTCTCGAAGTTCTCGGGGTGGCCCGGCGTCTTGGAGCCCCACTGCCTGAATTGCTTCAGGTCGTCCATGGAGACGCTCTCGTAGCCCGTGAGATGGAGCACCGAGTACTGGAACATGCAGCCGTGGCCGGAGGAGAGCACGAAGCGGTCGCGGTTCACCCACGCGGGGTCCGCGGGGTTGAAGTTCATCTCCTCGGCGAACAGCACGTAGCCGATGGGAGCCTGACCCATCGGTGCTCCTGCAGAAGACCGCACAGCGAAAGACGTATAAACCTTTGGATGCCCAGGAGGAGGAGGAGGAGGAGGACGAGGAGCAGCAGGGGAAGGGGGGAGAAGGAGGAGGAGGAAGAGACAGGGGATGAGGAGGAGGAAGACGACGACGACCCGACTCACGGCCTCCCTCCCCACATCCCTGCCGGCACCCCTCCAGCGCCTGCCTTAGCGCGATCCGCGCGCAGGGCAAGGGGTGTGGGTAGGGGTATGGGTCCAGCACCGACGCAAGAAGCCCGGGCGGGCGCCCGCAAGGAAGTTTGTGCCCATGCCGTTACGCGGGTCCCTTTGGCCACAGGCAACAGAAGGACCCTAACTGGGCAAGAGCAACCCTTGGTGCGCGGCTTGCCGGCCGCCGCGTGCGATGCGTCAGTAATTAGCGACCTGCATGCTTGGGTTTGGTCCCCCCGCGGCCCCCAAGAGCCGCGCGGCGAAGGACTCCTGACACCCGCTGGTCTGGATTTTTGCAACCCGCGGCTTCAGAGGTCCCGACCACTCCCCCTGGGTCAGTGTATCGTCCCGCGTTTCTGATGGTCCTGGGGCCCAATGACGGGCCGAGGAAGGCCGAAATCAAAGAGAACCGCCGCGCCCCCTCCCCGCAGCCGACCCCGGCTCCCGGGTGGCCGCTGTTGGCCTTGTTCACGGCGTCCACTGCGAGGAAGCGGATGGCGTTGATGCAGTCGGTCTCCACCTCGGTGCTGACGGCCGTGGCCTTCTGCGCCGCCGGCGCCGCCCGCTGGCGGCGGGCCCCCCCGCGCGACGCAGAGGCCGCGACGGCCAGCGCCGCGGCGCCGCACACGGCTCCGGCAGCGGCCGTCGTCCCGGCGGAGCCCGCCTCGACGCCTCGCACGTTGCCGCGCAGCTGGGGCGCCGCCGGGGCCGCCGGCTGCCCCGAGGAGGGCGCCACGAAGCAGTTGGCCGCCGCCAGCGTCGCGGCAGCGCCCGCCACGGGCACGAGCATCGACGAGCGCTTGCCCGACATCTTCGACGCAACGGGCATCCTACCACGGAGCAGTCTGCGGGACCAGCGGTTGCGGCCTCCACGCAGAACTTAGAGGGCACACTAGCTTGAGCCAAAACGGCTACAGAAGGCGAGGAACAGGAAGAGGGGGAGCAGGAGGATCGAGATCCGAGAGGATGAGAAGGATCTGGGAGGAGGAAGCCAGAAGAGGAAGATGAAGACCCGAGGAGGAGGGCGACGAGGAGGATGAGTAGGAGGAGGAGGAGGCGGAGGCGGAGGCGGAGGAGGAGGAATGTGGAAGGAGGAAGAGGAGGGAGGAGAGATGTGGGAAGATTGGCAGGGAGAGCAGGAAGAAGAGGAGGGGGATGATGATGATGATGATGATGATGATGATGATGATGATGATGATGATGATGATGATGATGCTTATGATGATGATGATGATGATGATGATGACGACGACGACGACGACGACGACGACGACGACGACGACGACGACGACGACGACGACGACGACGACGATGATATGATGATGATGATGATGATGATGATGATGATGATGATGATGATGATGATGATGATGATGATGATGATGATGATGATTATGATGATGATGATGATGATGATGATGATGATGATGATGATGATGATGAGCAGCGCTGATGAGATGGATGGATGAGGGGGAGGAACAAGGACGGCGAAAGGAGAAGCGTGAAAGCGCAAACGAGAATAGTTATGGGTCTTCGTCTTCACGCTTGCCATAGCCTCGCCGATCGCAGCACTGACAGTCAGGGAACAGCTGTTGTTTATAAAATTGTGCCACTTCTAGTCAGTACGGGGGCACCAGCTCCTGTTTGTCAGCGCGGCGCGACTACGGTGCCAGTACCCCCACCCCTCGCGCCCTTTCTTACCGCAGTGTCGTGCCAGCCTCAATTCCATCGAGCGAGGACGTTCCAGCAGCCAATGCTAGTGCCAAAACAAGCTTGCGATCCAGCACCACATGTTTGTCGAGCGCGGGCGTTCCAGCAGCCTACGCCGTGCGCCCCAACGCTGCATTTTACAAAGCCGGAGCCGCCTTCCAGCAGTTCGATCAAAAAACAAAGGTGCGCTCCAGCATTGCATGTTTTTCGAGC